AGCCCCTTTTTCCTTTATTTACATCACTATGTTTTGTTCCCCACTACTCTTAGACAAATACAATAGTTTAATGATCCATTAGTACCTTACTGACAGCCATTCAAACTAAAGCATTTTTCAAGTTTTGACACCCCAAATTACCCCTGTGATGCCCTGAACAACTATTCTACCTTAAACTCCCGCGACCACATCAGCTATAACCAATTCTTAAATAAGAAACCTAATCACTGATTAACCTAAACTAATCCTTAATTAATGACTGAAAACAAATGAATTGACTCTAAACCAATAAACACATCAGCTATAACCACTTCAAACTTATCAGAATTAGTTAACGAATCAAGCTAGAAACTTAGTTTAGATCAAATATCATCAGAATGAAACCAATGATTCCGGGCAACATATATTGAACTATTAAGTTCAGATTGATTCACACAGATACAGTGAATAAGCTAACCAATTCTAACCTAAACAAGAACAAATGAACACTAAACGAAACAAACTGAACTCATATGAAAAAACATGGTGAATAACAATGAGAAAGGGAAATTGGAACAATTTGAAACAAATGATACCAACATGCTTATTTCAACACAAAATTGGAACAGAAAAGAAACAGGAGGATAAACCTACTGGAATGAACCAAAAATTAAACTATTATCATGCTAATCTAACATTCAAGCATTACAGACTAATCGACGACACTTATTCAATCGATTACACAAATTATAACATATAACAATCGACAACAAACAAAAACAATGATAAAATTGGACCAAATAAAAGGTCTGATGGAGAAAGAAAAGAGTAATTGATAAAAAAAACGATTTTGAACTCATCTTAAACAAACAAACAACAAAACTTGAAAAACAAACAGAGAAACAGAAGAAATACCTTTGAACTCAGACCTATCTCTCACTCGCTCTGCTCGTAACTCCGACTTGAGCCTTTTGGGGTAAAAACGGACTTTAATAGAGTGAGAACACTCGACTAAAGTCGATTAGAACCCCCAATTTTTCCTCGGACTGCCTCTAGGTTTGGTGTTAGGGTTTGTTTGTTCGATTTGGGATTTGAATAGTTCTGATGAGATTCGAACGAAACTGGGGTGTGATTTGGGACCGGGGAGGTCTGGTGGTCAACGGGTGTAAGTTTGGGGGCGATTGGGTAAACTAGGTTTTTTGGTCGGATTTTTCGATCTAAGATTCGAAGAGCTCTGTCATGATTCGAGGTTAAAGGGGTATGGATTCGGAAAGAGGAAGGCATGGAGGTTCAACGGTGTTATTTGGGCGGCATCGTTGCCGCCGGATTTCAGGCGATGGTGTGGGGTGGCGGTTCTAGGGTTTCGAGGGGTCGTTTGGTCTGTGGTTTGGGAGACGAATAAGAGAGGTCGGGAAATGAGGGGGGGTAAGGGATTTAGGAGTTTGGTATATTGAGATGGTGAGATTAATGTGGTCAGTTGGATCAATGAAGATTGACGGTCCAGATTAGATCAGGGAGGGGGCAAACTGGGTTGGTGATTGGACCGGGTAAAGGGGTGAAATTTGGGCCTGGTTTTGGTCAAAATAAAACGGCCCAGTTCCGATTTCTTTGGATTTTTCATTTCTTCCTTTTCTTTTAACTTCTTTTTAATTCCTAATTACCAAAAATTAAATTCCAAAAAATCTTAAATTAAATTATAGAACTTAAATTAACTTGTTAAAAACACAAATTAACTTCTATTACAACTATTAACACAATTAAACATCAATTACAAACAAAATCACACAATTGGACTAAAATACATATTTTTTGTGATTTTCGTTCTTTTAAAAACCAAATATGGTTCAATTAATTCCTAATTGCAAAATTAAATCCTAAATGTGCATGCAACATATATTTTGTATTTTTCCTTTAATAAAATGAAAACAAACATGCACAGACAAATACAGATAATTAACAACATGCCACAAAAAAAACTCTCAAAATTTCGTATAAAGGAAAAATTATTTTATCTTGATTTCTTTTGGAGTAGTTCTTTGTGAAGCAAAAATCACGTACTCACAGTCGTTTTTTGCTGTCATCTCATCAATTTCATTGATATTTCATACTCAGTCACATTCATGCATTCATAACATATCTCTCTCAATTATTACTTATTGATACATCATATCATTATTCCGGGTCAGTTTTCATGACATTGTGAGCCCGTGGGAGAGACTGGAGAGATTGATGACTGAGTGAGGCCGAGAGTCTGATTATGAGCGACAATTATGGGATGGGGCTGCACGCCATAGATGTTATATTAATGATTATGATAGCGCTTGGGCTGTAGGAGCCCCTCCGAAGTCTGTAACACACCCCTAGTGAGCGCGGATGATATTATTGAGGGATGAATTTCCCTGGATATGGATTTGTAAGAAGCATTTGATATCTGGAGATGGATTTCTCCACAGGGCTGGATTGCCCTTTTTCCTCGGTACTGGGTGACTTATAGTCAGTGTTGTATATATTCTGGGATGGATTTCCCCGGACTGCATGGGACATATACAGTACCGAGTGATTGAGCATTTATATATTATCGAGGGATGGATTTCCCTGGATATGAATTTGTCCAAAGTACTTGATACATAGAGATGGATTTTTTCACAGGGTTGGATTGCCCTTTTTCCTCGGTACTAGGTGACTTATAGTCAGTGTTGTATATGTTCCGGAATGGATTTTTCTGGGTCATATGGGCTATATACAGTACCGAGTGGTTGAGTGTGATGAGTAAAAAGTGTGAGACAGTGAGATTGAGTACTCTAACAGTGTGAGTACATAATTCATCTCTGAGATGCATGGCATTGGCATGCATATATGACATACATGCATATAGAAACATTTTCCTCATGCTGTACGGTATCACGATGTTCATGATTTTTTTATACTCTTTGATATGTGGGCGTAGAGAGGTATTTCACACTTGCTATTTGAAAAAATGAAATAACTTATTTGTTTTGGAAAGGATTTTAGGGAAAATTTCAATTTTCAAACTATCTCGTATTTTTCGAAGATTTTGGTAAAGGATTGGGTTTTCACTGATATTCTTGAAAAGCAGAACTATTTTTCGGAAAAATTAGGAAAAGCTGGGCATTTTATCTCTAAGTTACTTCCTTATTTATATGCTCTATGTGGTTATGAATTGTTGTTGGCTTCTAGTACTGGACTCGACCATGTTCCAGCTTGTCACTTCTTTCAACCTAAGTTTAGGTTTGTTACTTATTGAGTACATGAGGTCGGTTGTACTCATACTACACTTCCTGCACATTGCGTGCAAATTTCGAATGCCGATGTTGCTGTGTTCAATGGGAGTTAAATTGGAAGATGTACTATGCATTCTGGTTGTGGCTGCCTCTTGTTCATGGTAGCCGTAGATTTATAAAACTCTGTTTATGTACTTTTCAAACATAAGATGTATTTACTTCATATCAACTTTGTAAACTTTATTCTTAGAAGCTCATGATTTGTACTACAAGTCCTTGGGAAATGTAAAATATTCAGAAAATTCCTTTGTTTAATTGTTTAATTATTATTATTGAAATTGAATAGTTAGTAGTTGTCTTACCTAGTAGGTTGGATTAGGTGCCATCACAGCTAGTAGATTTTGGATCGTGACAAATTCTCAGCAAGTTTGAAAAAGAAAAACAGTCATAAAGAAGTCATATTGAAAAGTATTTATAATATAACGAGCGAAGAAAATCCATGAAAATTAATGTAGGAGATTTATGGGTCTTTTCATGTAGAAGCGAGTTTTTGCACCTACAATTTGAAGAAAAAAATATGTTGGGATTAATTATGCTGAAATTAGTTATACTATGATTAGCTACGTTGAGATTAGTTATCATTGTATTATTTCTTATTGACTATTTGGTATGTTGTATTAATCCCGTAATTATCAATTTCACTGCTTTATCTAAGGATTACTATTCTACCATCTGATAGGTATAAGTTATCCCGATACTATTTTTATTTTTGAGATAACTTATCTCAGAATTAATACCCAAACAAAAAATAAGGCGGTACTGAGTTTTTATATCACAATTATTTTTACTTATCCATCGTACCAAATGACGCTTAGTTTCTGCGGTCTAAATATTCCCCGTAGATAATTCTCTTTATAAACCTTAGTTGTCATCGTGTAATTTTCAATACCATAATGGTATATTTATATCTTAATATTACTACTGTGAATGAAATTACCATATAATAGGTATTCTAGTATTGTGAGAGTGGTTGCAGCTTGTGAATTACTTACCATAAAAAAAGTTTATTAAAAAAACTTACCATAAGATAATCGAAAAAAAAAGAACAAAACAAAAGAATGAATAAAATAAAAGTCTTTCACCATCTTAATACTGTCGCTGACTAAGCTGCCAAAATACTTCATTCCATACGCTGTTGCTGACCAATAGTAGCTCAAGAACTTGAATACCCTTTAAAGAAAAGTTTCCAAATAAAAATAAAAATATCAGACAAACTAAATGATAAATAATAAATAATAAACAAACCCCTCCAATAATATTACTAAATCTTGTTCTGTAACAATCAAGTGATATTATTGTGGGTCTAGACACTCACATGTTTAAAACGCGTCACTAAAATTAAGTATTCTATCTAAAGTATGAGGTGTTACACATTCTAACTAACATCTATACACCTTTCACTCCATGTTTGGTGTTTTTTTTTTTGGAATCTTAATTAATTCAATTTTATATCACATAAACCCACTTAAAAAACCACCCGAACTATAAAAACTTTTTTTTATTTTTAGGTTGCGACTCCGAGATTTTAAGGACGAAGGAGTTCAATCCATCTTACCAAAATTATATGATAACGACTAGAGACTCTAACTACATACCAAACAAATCCAAATCAGAGTAACAATTAAATATACAAAAGCAATGTCAAAATCAAAAGCCCTCATGTTAATGACATGTAAGATAAAGTGCACAGTGATAAGAAAAAAGTAAAGTTGGAGAGAGAAATGAAAAAGAAATATGGATAAATACATGAACTAATCTTGTATAGTATTATATATTGGAGTATTAAGAAGAAGAAAAGGTTCTGTGTATTTGAAATCTTCAGCATAAATATGCAAATTATGGGTTATGTATTTTAATGGGAAGATGATTGTTTTAATGTTATTAAGTTAAGAGAAGTGAGAAATTAAAAGCAGCAAAAGCAATGCCGGGAAAAATGGGAAGGAGAGAGAAAATAATGTTTTTGCTGAAGAAACAGATGATGAATGTCATGTTCATGGAGATGAGAGCCACCACTTCCTCTGTACTCTTCCTTTTTCTCCTTTTCATTCTTATTCTCTTTGTTCTTTAATTCATCACCTCAACGAATCTCTGTCTTTTTTTTCTTTCAAGATTCAATTTTTCATAAACCTATTATTGTTATACTTGTGTTTTTCATCTGGGGTTCTCTTATTTCACACTGAAGTTCAAAAAGTTTCTTCCTTTTTAGGTGGGGTTGTTTATTTATCTCTAAATATTGCTCTCTGGGGTTTTGACAGGTTAATCAGCTCACAAATCTGTACTGAAAAAAGTTTCAATTTTTATACCCAAGAAATCTCTATACTTGTGTTTTCTTCATCTGGGGTTCTCTTATTTCACACTGAAGTTCCAAAAGTTTCTTCCTTTTTTAGGTGGGGTTGTTTATTTATCTCTAAATATTGCTCTCTGGGGTTTTGACAGGCTAAATTAATCAGCTCACAAATCTGTATTGTTAAAAAAGTTTCAATTTTTATACCCAAACAATCTTTATACTTGTGTTTCTTGATCTGGGGTTCTCTTAATTTCTCACTAAGTTCCAAAAGTTTCTTCCTTTTTTGGTGGGGTTTTTTATTTATCTCTAAATATTGTTATCTGGGGTTTAGAGGATTTAATTGCAGAATCTTATATGAGTCTTGTTCAGTAGTTATTTGGGTGCTGAGCTCTGGATCTGATCTTGATTTTAATGAAAAATTTGATCTTGGGATCAAATCTTGATGATTCTGGGATTGGTTGAGTTGGGTTTTTAGGGTTTGAGTCAACAGATTGGTCAAAGGTTCAGTCTTTTTGTTGTCATAAGTTTCAAGCTATTTTGGTTGTATATATCAAAATTCAGTGTGAAATAGATTGTTGTAATCTGTTCTCCCCTCAAGTATATTTAGTGATTTCTGGGGGAAAAGCTTACTGCTTTTTGTGTCATTTTTAAAGAAAAAAAACATTAAATATAACCCTGAATCCACCATTTTTATTGTGGATTATAGATTCCATTATATTTTGATAGAGTTTCTTCTTTTAACATCAAGAAATCAGATTACAAAATTTCTTAGATTAGGAGAAGAAGAGTTGTAGACAGGCTTATCTGACTGAGGCGAATTATCGGTATATTTGGTGGGTGATTTCTGGTCTATGGGAGTACCTGATAGTTCACTGCTGGATTTGATAGAGAAGGTTAGGACTTGGATATCGTGGGGTATGAGTGATCCAACTTTATTGGCTGGCGGACGCGATATGGATGTTAACAGTTGCAAAACCTGTTATGAATGCAAGATGAAGTTTACTGATTCTTGCCTCAAGTTCCATTGCTTAAGATGCAGTCGAGTATTCTGCAATGATTGTGTGCGCATTTTTGGCTCTTCGGATGTTGTTGCTTCTGGATCAGGAGAATCAGAAACCTTGGTGAGGGCTGTGGTTGATATCAAGACTTGCAAATTTTGTTCTGACTTGAGCAATTGTCATAAAAGCATGAGGAAGTTTAGTGACAAAGTTTATCCTTCTGAATCTCCGAGAGAAAGCCCAGAACCGCCGTCACCAGATTTTAGTAGTGACAGATTTGATGGTGATTCTCCACATGATGCAAGTAAGAGTAGTTTTACAGCCTTTTCAAGTCATCCATCTTCAGTGTCTTTGCGTCACTCGCCTAGCAGGTAACAAACTGGTTTAATATTTGTTAGATTTGTTTATTTCCTTGTAATTATTCCAGGGTGAAATCTTGTGTTTTCCATGTATGTTAATATACTAAAGGAAACATCAAATATGGCAGGATCAACCTGTTATCTAATTATTGATTTAGTTGTTTTAGTTTCCGTAATTGTGGGTATAAGAGCTTGGTTTTACTTTGTTTTCTCAAAAAGAGATTTGGATCTATCCCAAGATTTGGCTTGGCTAAAAGTAGCTGATGTTGCAAAAATCTTATGTGTAAAGGCTAGAGTCTTGTTCCAAGATATTCGGCACGTGATATTAACTTATATCTGTTTTTTCAGTTTTCTATTATCTTATTTGCAAGTAAAAAGATCATTTCGTTGCACCAAAATGGTGCCAAAAACTTCACATTCGTGTTGTATCACTAAATTTCCGACAAATCTATATAGCTTTCTGAACAAAAGGGATTGTTTTTTTTTGGACACAAAAAATTACAAGCACTAAAGAGCTTCTAATTCTCCATATGGGCTTCTTTACTCCTTGAAAAATCTCTATGTACTTTTTTTCCACATCATGTAGAACGTAACAATGGTGCGACCTTCCAAATATCGTTTCCCCATCCCAAATCTTTTCATCCTGCAAGTTGACTGGGCACCTGCCACCGTACTCGCTAGCACTCAAGCTACATTGAACAAAGAGTAGACGAACTTCATATATGTTAATTTGACTAGCGAGTAAAACTTACTGGTTTTATGGAAAAAAATAACCCATCAAACAGAAGCTACTTAGATTTTATGAGATTGCAAACATATGTTCAACTTGTGTTTTCAAAGCTGCTTCCTTGAACTAAGAAATCTTCCCTTTTTGCTTATAATTGTAGGAGTGATGAAGATGAAGGAGGGGACTTCATGGATCATTCTTTTAGCGCATCAAGTGACTATTGTCATGATACTTCTGATATAGAATCAAGTAGTGTTAGTACTAGACATGAATTTTACCGTTTCAGATCAGTTGGATCTAGTCCTTCAAAAAGCCCCTCTAGGATTCGTTTTATTTCCAATAGAGTTGGGCATTCTGTACAGCACCAACAAGAGACCCCAATGTCTCGGAATGATGGTCCCCTTGATCATGAAGCGTCAACTGTTTTAGGAAGGCTTGAGAAAGGAAATGAGGATCCAGAGACTGCTGACGACTGTGTTGACAATTTGTCCATTTACCAAGACCAGTTTGAGAAGCAGCAAAAACCATTGGATTTTGAAAACAATGGTCGTCTATGGTTTCCTCCTCCACCTGATGATGAAGATGACGAGGCACAAAATAATTTCTTTACATATGATGACGAGGATGATGAAATTGGAGAGAGTTCTGCAGCATTTTCTTCCAGTGGGAGCCTTGCCAGCATTTTCCCTGCAAAGGAGAAACAGCAAGCGGATCACAAGGAACCATTACGAGCTGTTGTACACGGTCATTTCAGGGCTCTTGTCTTGCAGCTATTGCAAGGTGAAGGTATAAATTCAGGGAAGGAAGGCAGCACTGATGACTGGATTGACATAGTTACATCAATAGCATGGCAAGCTGCAAATTATGTGAAGCCAGATACTAGTAAAGGAGGCAGCATGGATCCAGGTGATTATGTAAAGGTCAAGTGCATAGCTTCAGGAAGCCAAAGTGAAAGGTAAATTTTTCTCTTCTTACCACATGAACATTAAAATTTTCCATTTTTTTCTGATCATGTGAAACCTGGTGAGTTCAGGTTTGTTTTTTGTTAGATTCATGATTGAGTTTTGGTTCAATGCAGCACCCTCGTTAAAGGAGTAGTTTGTACTAAGAATATCAAACACAAGCGCATGACTTCACAGTACAAAAATGCCCGATTACTTATTTTACGAGGAGCACTTGAGTACCAAAGAGCTGCCAATCAGTTGGCATCTTTTGACACCTTATTGCAACAGGTTTTTAGTTGATCTTTTATCTGTTAATGGATGAGATAAGAGCAAATAGAGACAAGATTAAAATGTTCTGTTCTCCTTACAGGAAAAGGAGCACCTGAAGATGATCGTTTCAAGAATAGAGGCTCACCATCCTAATGTGCTGCTTGTGGAGAAAAGCGTCTCTTCATATGCTCAGGAGCTTCTACTGGCAAAAGAGATCTCTTTGGTGTTAAATGTTAAGGGGCCACTGCTAGAGAGGATAGCCAGGTGCACTGGTGCTCTTGTAACCCCATCCATTGATAACATAGCCACAACAAGATTGGGACATTGCGAACTCTTCCACTTAGAAAAAGTTTCTGAAGAGCATGAACATGCCAACCAGTTAAACAAGAAGCCATCAAAAACTTTGATGTTTTTTGATGGTTGTCCTAGGCGTTTAGGTTGCACGGTATTTTCCCCTACCTTGAATCTATTATTGGTTTACTGAAATTCGAATTATTTGAAGTTCTAAATATGATTTAAGTAATGCATACCTGTTGGTATACTCGTCTTTTTTACTTCCTTGAGCATGCAAAGTTCCTCTAAACTACTACTTATATCATGCATCTATTTAACTTTGACCACCTTGCTCTGAGTATATGTTTATACAAGTGGTTTCCCTTATGGTTATGCTCATGTTATGGTATTTATGATGATTTCTTCTGTGCCATTTGTACTTCTCCCTTCTAGTCACCAATTTCAAGTAGAAACCAAAAATTTCATCTTTACATCTGATTAAGAAATTTAAATTTTTATTTGAACTTAATTAAGATGTTTCACTTCATATATTTAACTTAATAGCCCTTTTTTTTTCAATTCTAACTCCACGCAGATTTTGTTTACACGGGGCTTTAGTTGTGCTTTGAGCTTGAAGCCCATGAAGCATATGATGCTTTTATAAGCATTCCGCTTTTAATAGCATTGTGAACATTAGTTTAAATTTGATGTGAAACTTCAATGTGGTTTCCTCGTCGCTAAATGTGTAGCTCTCGTGTTTTTTTTTCTTCTGCCAGTATGGGGTTTGCGAGTTTCAACTCAAGCTTATGTGCAAAGTTGACAAGTTATTGTCTTGTACCTTTATTTGTATATTAAATGTTGAAGTAAGATACAGAGGGTTACTTATCCATTCATTTGACAATATGTAGGTCTTGCTAAGGGGCTCATGTCGTGAAGAGCTGAAGAAGCTGAAGAAGGTCATTCAGTATGCTGTATTTGCTGCATATCATCTGTCTCTTGAGACATCGTTCCTTGCTGATGAGGGTGCTAGTCTACCTAAAGCGTCTGCAGCACTCGAGAGTACATCTGCTGATAATGCTATCTCAGCGATTTCTCATTCTGCTGTGGCTGCAAGAGCGCAGACAGTTGCAAATGACCCACATGTTCAACTAGGATCTGCCAATTGCAGTGTGAAGGTAGTTTTACCAGAGTCATTGTTGGAGCATCATTACCCTCAATGCGGCGATCAATCTAACCTAGATGACTGTGGAGCAAGAGATGTTCTCTCTACTGCAGGTCTTGAAAATCTAGCACCGTTTCTTGCGCATGATACAAGAACTGTTGATTTTGTTGAAATCAAAGATCAAACTGATGAAGGATCGCTAGAAACTTTAGGTCAAGAAGAGAGTCAGCCCGGAGAACTTGGGGAGCTGGCAAAGCTTGAAAAGTCAGATGAAAACAAAGCCCCCAATGAATTCTATTCAGCTGCTGACAGTCGTCAAAGCATATTAGTTTCCTTCTCTAGTCGATGTGTTTTAAATGGAAGTGTGTGTGAACGTTCTCGGCTCCTTCGCATCAAGTTCTATAGCTCTTTTGATAAACCACTTGGGCGATATCTTCAGGATGATCTTTTTGGTCAGGTAGAAATCATCGTTTTGTCTCTAAGTTCTATAATACATGATATTCCCTTACCCATATAATTTCATGCTATTTTTGTATTTCACTTCATGATGTCAGATGTCTTCCTGTCAATCATGCAAGGAGCCAGCTGAGGCTCATGTCATCTGCTATACACACCAACAGGGGAATCTTACCATAAATGTTAGACGCCTTCCCTCGGTGAGTTCGCTTCCTGGTGAACGGGACAAAAAGATTTGGATGTGGCATCGATGTCTTAAGTGTGCACAAATAGAGGGAGTTCCACCAGCGACTCGCAGAGTAATAATGTCAGATGCTGCTTGGGGACTCTCGTTTGGGAAGTTCTTGGAACTTAGTTTTTCAAATCATGCAACTGCTAACCGTGTTGCTAGCTGTGGTCATTCTCTGCAAAGAGACTGCCTCCGATATTATGGGTCCGTACTGTGTAGTACTTTCCTTAAGAATAGGGTTGGCTTCTCCAACAGTTTGAAAATCACTGTGATTATTCAGTCATTGCTTCACCATCTTGCTGTGTAGAGAATAAAATAGACTTTGCTTTTGCAGGTGTGGAAGTATGGTTGCGTTCTTCCGCTATTCTCCTATTGACATTCTGTCAGTTCGTCTGCCCCCATTAACTCTTGAATTTAGTGGCTACACAGAACAAGAATGGCTAAGGAAAGAAGCAGCTGAGGTGCCAGAATTTATAAATACTTTTCCTGGCTATCTTGAAATGATTCTGAGTTTTTGTAATATCTTTGGTTGTTTTGTTTTTGCTTAGAATAGCTCTATGTGACATGTCTTGTCTTTCCTGCAGTTACTATGTAAAGCCAAAGCTTTGTACGCGGAAATATCAAGTGCCTTTCGCAGGATTGAAGAGAAAAGTTCCTCTTTAGAATGTGAGCTATCAGATACAACTCAGTTGAATGACTGCATCATGGAGTTAAAGGAGCTGCTTATGAAAGAAAAGAATGATTACTATGTAAGACAACACCACAACGGGTCATTAATCTTTAATACTTGTACAGTTTCCTTTTATGAGTTTAATTATGCATTTTTGCTGCTGATTATGAGCATGCATGACAAGTGCTGTCTTTCTCCTTACTGCTTTGCCTTCTGTTTGCCTGTACTATAGGACTTTCTTCAACCGGATGATGAAGAAACTTTTGACCCAAGGCAGGCTGCAATAGACATTCTTGAGCTGAATCGCTTGAGGCACTCCCTCGTGATTGCTTCGCATGTTTGGGATCGTCGGCTTTTGTCCGTGAAGTCTTTTCTTGAAAAGAGTTCTAGTTCAGTGGGTTCAGAGGATTCTGGATCTTGTAATGAGCTGATAGATTGGAGGAGGGACATGTTTCTGAAGAATGACACTCTTGAACATGTTTATGAAGAATCTGTGCCCGAGTTCTCAGACTTAGAAGAATATACCGAGAAAGCTTTGCAGTCCGAACAGGAGGAAACTCGCGTATCACCTTATGGTTCTGTTAAGATCGAAAGCTCCATGTTAACCTCATCTGAGAGTGAGAGAACGCAGGAAATGCAGATGGAAGGAGAGAATGTGGTTACTGAAACATCCTTGGCACGAGCTCCTTCAGCTGCATCAGCCCTTTCTGATCAGATAGATTCTGCTTGGACTGGCACAGATCGATCTCCCAAAAAAGGTCAGTTGTTTCTGATGCTACAAGGAGAAGGATCTGAAGCTGCTTCTTTCAGACCACCAAGTCAACTTGATTTCCCTCCTTTTAGAAAGCTACGGTCACCCGCAAGAGTTCACTCCTTTGACTCTGCTCTGAGACTTCAGGAAAGAATCAGGAAGGGACTGCCGCCTTCTTCATTACATTTATCAACAATTAGGTCTTTTCATGCTTCTGGTGACTACAGGAATATGATCAGAGACCCTGTTTCCAGTGTTCAGAGAAGTTATTCTCAGATGTCACCTAGTGAAGCTCATAAGTTTAATCTTCTTATGGGTTCATCACCCTCGTTTATTTCTTATGCATCTCTTATACCTGACGGAGCTAGGTTGATGGTTTCACAGGGAGATGTTGTGGTAGCTGTTTATGACAACGAACCTACTAGCATAATATCTTATGCACTTTGTTCTAAAGTGTATAATGATTGCATCACTGATAAGTCAAGCGTGTCTGGACGGGGTTGGAACACAAGTGACATCAATAAGGAGGCTGGAGTGGCTCCTCGCCTCTCGGCATGGCAGTCTTTTGGCTCCCTTGACATGGATTATATGCATTATGGTAGCTATGGTTCTGAAGATGCTTCCAGTACAATTACTTCCCTATTTGCAGATTCAAAAAGTTCTCCTCACCTAAGGGTCTCTTTTGATGACGAATCTTCGAGTGCTGGGGGAAAGGTCAAATTTTCTGTCACTTGTTACTTTGCAAAGCAGTTTGATGCTCTTAGGAGGAAGTGCTGTCCTGATGAACTGGATTTTGTACGTTCCTTAAGCCGTTGCAAAAGATGGAGTGCTCAAGGGGGAAAGAGCAATGTTTATTTTGCCAAGTCATTGGATGAAAGATTCATAATAAAACAAGTTCAGAAAACTGAGTTGGACTCTTTTGAAGAATTTGCACCAGAGTATTTTAAATATATAACAGATTCTATTAACTCACGGAGTCCAACTTGCCTTGCAAAAGTTCTCGGAATATTCCAGGTTCGACTTCCTTTTCATGTTTTCTCCTATAAACATCCTTTTTATGACTGACAAATGGCGTGCCTTTAATTTTCAAACTAGTTTTTAGTTGTTGCACAAGTCTTATTCCTATTCATATCCCATGTTTTAGGTTTCGGTCAAACACTTGAAAGGCGGCAGGGAAACAAAAATGGATTTAATTGTGATGGAGAATCTCTTTTTTGAAAGAAAGATCTCGAGGGTCTATGATCTCAAGGGTTCTTTACGATCTCGCTACAATGCAGATACAACTGGGGCAAACAAAGTGTTGCTAGATATGAATCTTTTAGAAACATTGCATACCAAACCTATATTTCTTGGAAGCAAAGCAAAAAGAAGCCTGGAGCGAGCTGTTTGGAATGATACATCCTTTTTGGCAGTAAGCTAATTTTGCTTCCTATCTTTCTCGATATTGTGATATAGATATCTAAGTTAAAAGAGATTTTGCAATTTCATAAATGCAATAATGGAGCATAGCCAGGACTCAGGTTTACTGAGCACTTTATGATAAACAACTTGAGGGAGCGTGACCGGTGAATCTATTTTGCTGTTATTTTTTCCTTTCTTAAGTGTCTAAATTTCAACCTGATCGAATAAAGTTTTCGTTTTTGACAGTCTGTTGATGTGATGGACTACTCTTTGCTGGTTGGAGTTGACGAAGAGCGAAAGGAGTTAGTCTTGGGCATCATAGACTTCATGAGACAATATACTTGGGACAAGCACTTAGAGACATGGGTGAAGGCATCCGGCATACTTGGAGGACTGAAGAATGAATCCCCGACTATTGTTTCTCCACTACAATACAAGAAAAGATTCAGAAAAGCGATGACAACCTATTTTCTCACGGTACCAGATCAATGGTCATCTTGAAAATCTTGAATTTATTATATTCTTTCTTTGAGCCTTCTGCCAATAAGCAAACTTTCCTAATTGCACAAAATTGCAGATGGAGGAAGGTTAGATATTTTTCAGTTGGTTCATATTTGTTTTGCCATCTGGGGTTAAAATTCCCCTTGGAAAAGTGTATGAGAAGTAGGGACTGTCATCTTTATTATGAAATATGGCAAAGTGTACATTTGACCATCTGTACATTTATACAAAGCCTCATTGAGTAAATGAAATCAAATGTATCTTATTGGAGTTGAGAAGATTTTTCTTTTTTCTTCTCAAGAAGAGATAGTAATTGGTCCTTATGGTTATCGATTGATTTATTTTCTATCGCGACAACTCTTGTTCCCCACCATTTAGCGTTCTGGGGTCGTACTATGTATTAAAATTAGAGTACCCTTTCTTCCACCTCCGAAGGATGGAGGAGGTATACATCGAAAAAAGCGTCAATTGGTTGTCTCTATATTATGATGGGACATTGCGTCAAAATGGAGGTCTAAGAATGTTTTTGTGCCATGTTAGAGGATTTATGTTATATGCACCGATGGTGTGAAGTTTTTCCCCCATTGTTAGTGTATTTTAACCTTGTCTCCTTGGGATCTATAAGTCGCGAGTTCCAACCGTGGAAGCAGCTACTAATGCTTGCATTAGGATAAATTGTCTATATTACTCCCTTTGGGGTGCAGCCCTTTTTCGGATCTTGCATGAATGCGGAATACTCTATGCATCAGACTGCCTTTTTTAAAGTGTATTTTAACCTATGATAACATGTTAGTTACCACACCTTGGCAGGTTAACAGTTAATAAAAATTTAGTTGTAAATTATTGCATTATTGGTCTAGTAACTTTTGTTCATGAGCGGAGCCACAGTGTCGGATTTGGGTTCGGCTGAATCCATTAACTTTTGTTCAAACTCTATATTTCTTATAAAAATTTATTGAATATGTACAAATTATTAATTTAGAACCCGCTAACTTAAAATAACTATAATTCTGAATCCATAAACTTCAAATCTTGGATCCGCATCTGAGTTCATATTCCACTTTTTTTCACATGCATCAACTTTCTTACCATTCAAGAAAGAGCTGAACCCTACTTTATTCCTGTAACTTCTCTTGTAATGGAGAAAAGGGAAATTCTTTAATAAATAAATAAATAAAAAGAAATAGACCCTTGTGGAAACATAATAGAATTGACTTTATGACTTTATGATACAACATTTTTGGTGTGGAGATTTTGTCTGCCATGTGAAAAAGATTAAAAACAATCCTCCAACATTGTTATTCTTATTATATATAATGCCTCCCATTCTCTTGTCTGGTACATGTGATCGTACCGAATATTGAGGCAACATATAATCAGCAAATAATTTTTTTTATCGTGAAGATCGGATTATTTTACGCGCATCTCGACTAATTTTACAAAATATATACTGAGTTTGCCGAAGTATCTTCAACCAACATAGGTACCGAGTAATTCAAAATATCTGCTGAGTTGCTCTATCGATATTAATTCAAGTAAACTCTAGATGAATTCGACAATAATTGGGATATGTTAAATTTAAGACCAATTAAAGAGAGGAAGAATAATTTAAGACCAATTAAATTTTGGCCTAAGATAGACTCTTTGACTTTTGTTTATCTATTTTAAACCTTATGAATTTTGAACACTTCTCTTTAATCGCCTAAGTTTTGAAAATTTCAACATCCAAAATGTATCTCAATTTGTTCTTTGCTTTCTTTTGGTTGTTTGACATACTAAGGAACGTTTCAAAATTAAAAATAAAAAATAAAAAATGGATACAAAAATATAATATGCGCACAAGCTAGACCAGACACTAAAGGTCGTTTTGTATGAGATATAAGAGTGGTATAAAAATTTAATACCACCTTAATACTACGTTTGGTTAGCAAACCGGATATAAGTTATCCCGGTGTTAATTTTAACACTGGAATAACTTATACCTTATAGAGGGTAGGGTAATTAGCACCTGTATAACTTATACCTTCTTCTTAGAAATTATGCAATTGTCATTCTTAATACAACATACCATACATTGAATAAACAATAATCCCAGCATAACTTATCCCAACATAAGTTATATTAGGGGTGTTCAAATCGAACCGGAAAACCGCACCAAACCGAAAAACCAAACCAAACTGATTAAAAAACCTGACTAGGTTTGGTTTGACTTGGTTTGGTATTCAGTAAAAAAAACCCGAACCAAACCGACATATAAATATATAAATTTTATTTATATTTTTAAGACTTTATAGTAAATTTTCTTTAGAAAACGTAGAAATATTTGGGATCCTCTCATGTATTAACCGAAAGCGTAAATTAACGAAAAATTATTGTTAGACGACTAAGAAAATAACTATCACGTATTACTAAAAATATTCTCCCATTAGAATATTTAAATAGATCATATGTTTGTCAATTTTTTTTCATATTTACTAAACATATATTCACTTATCAAAGCTTTATCTATAATTTTAACAAAGTAAGATTGAAATAATATTCATGTAACAAAAAAAACCCGAAAACCAGAAAAATCCGACAAAACCGAACTAATCCAAACCGATATAGTTAGTTTGATTTGGTTTTGATAAAAACTGAACCAACCCGGTCCATGTACACCCCTAGTTATACCGGCATATTCTGTATTCCAACCAAAAAAACAGTAATACTATATTGTAAGCAGTCTCTCACATAATTCACCAAGAGCATATAATTCTCAGCTTCTTGATTCTACGTACTATACATAAATGAGAAATACATGATAATAATACTAAATAACTGAGAAAATTTGCCAGGGAATTCGGAGAGGAGTACTTTTACACTACAAAAGACATATAATAAATGGATTTTTTTCTCCTCTTTAATTTGTTAAGAAGCTACTGCTAATTGAATCTCCCCTTCTGTAATTGGCAAGAATCCTACACGTTTCTGCAATCCATTGAACAAAAAGAAAAAAATAATTAATAAATATGAGATTATATACATGAATATTTTCAAGATTATCTGTAACAGCTTGTTGGGTTGGTAAAAATGAAACCCAATATTAATTAAAAAAAAACAATAGTAATTATCGACTAGTTTTTCCTTTCAAAAATGCCTAAACTTTTTCCTATTGTTATCATGCCTAAATATCATAGAAAAGAAAAGTTGCATTGGTCATGGAAATTGGAAAATACCTTCCACTACGAAGAATTAATCCAATCTAAAGTCTATGAACATAATTTATTAAAAATAGTCAAACTATTAACTATATTTGCCAAGTCAATAACAGGTAAAATTCAATTTGGCAAACCAAACTTTTTTTCACTTGATATATAACATACACATACATAAAATATCTCGAGTTCGGTATTGTACCTTTACTTCAAATTAAGTCCAGTTACTTTTTATAAAGTTTCAATCAGAATTAGATGTCGACACGATATTTATTTATAATTTTTTGAGTCAGTAATCGTACAACCAAACTTGACATCATGTTAGTTATAATGAATCAATATAGTAATAAAGTGAAGAGCTAAATAATTTATTAAATATTTGGGAATCTATTACGTTAGCTAGGCAGTCAAATTAAAGCCAGACACATGTCTCTGGGCACTAGAAATTTGGTTTAGTTTGGTGTATAAACAATTCTGTTTGTTACACTCTCCACACTGCTTATTTTTACTGACTCGACTAATTTAAATTTATATTAAGTAGATTGTATTCGTCGAAAATAGCTTCGACGGTTTTTTTTATATGTACATTTTATAAAAAACGTCCGTTAGAAATTCAATTATTTTTAATAATAATTTTTCTTTTGGGAATTATTCTTGATATAATCCGCAAACTCATGTAAATCTTATTCATAAAAGAAAAATGATGTATAATGCTCAGATGATAGTTGACAAAAAATTAAATAGATTTTTAAAAACTAATATTGGTAGCCGTTAGGTAATGAATTAGTTGATAAGGCACTTAACAATTCAACTTCAATCTCTTTCATTTATTTTCTTTTAATTGGTCTTAAAAATCTAGTTACTAATATTTTCTAGCATTACGTACATATACGTATACATTATCTTATCACATATGGAAACAAAATTTCCTTTTCCAGTAACCAGTTTCTTGTTTTTTATATAGGTAAAAGGACTGAATTTATATTTTTATTCTCTATATGCATACAAAAATTTTAATATAAAGAAGAAAACGTTGAAGTCATCAAAGTTTGACTTTGGTCGATGATTGAAATAAAATTTAGAATTTCAGAATGAAGCAGTCATTCTTGAAATTAAATTCAATAAAGGGAAAGCTTTTCACACTCATATAATTTAACAAAATTGATTTGACCATGCAGTTTCTGAAATATAAGCAAAAGACAACACTAGTTGAGGAAATGAGAAGTCAAATTTGAGAAACTAGAAAAGTCTCCATATACCTATTTTTTTACTAAAATTTGCCTTAATTTTTTTCTCACTAAAAATATATCACAGAATACAAGAATTATTTTACCAAAAAACTCATTCAAACGAGGTCCATGCACAAAACCATGTTAATATATCATGTTTAAGTGATAATTTCTTTTGATTGTATATTACACTCCCCGGTTCACAATAAGTGACTAATTTATTTTTTTATTTAGATTCAAAATAAGCGTCCATTTATATAATCAGGAAAAAATTCAATTTGTTTTTCCCAAAATTACCCTTAGATACGTATCCCTACAAAGTCTCTTACTCCTCACATTAAATTATGCTGCAACATTTAATTAAGGGTAATTTAGTCACACTAACTATTTTTGTCTAGAATTTAGTATTTCCTTAATCGATGTGCCCAAGGTAAATTGATCACTTATTGTGGACCGGTGAGAGTAACTGTGATCAAATGACATGTAAAAGTTACGTAAAAGACATATATCATTCATCACTTATTAATTTGATGTATGCATCATGTTCGAGTAAATTTTTTTTGAATATAACTTGATTATATCAAGATCTCTATAGGATCATGTAATAGTCTGCAAATTTAAGTTATTCTTTTACTAAAAAAACGTAAATTATTTTAACTCAAACTACATTTATTATATGCTAATGCATTTAATTTTATTTTAGAGTTTAACCTATATACTGAATGTAATTTCTTTTTATAATATCAAATCTTCTAGGGATAAATCTTGATAAATATTACAATAATACGTGGCTTGATAGTGTAATTATTTTTAAAACCATCGATGAATATTAGTAACTCTTTTTTTTTAAGTTTAGAATCATGATAAGAACATGGACGAAAAATAAAAATGTAAAACAAAAATAACATGAAAAGTGGATCGATGTCCATAATGAAGAGAACATTACCTCTCGAGATCTGATTCCCTTCTTAATTATTCCTCCATTATTATTCTTCCAATTACTTTGTTCTTCTAGCAACGGACCACTTCTATTCTGAAACATGTCAGCTCCACCACCACCACCACCATTGTTGACCAAGCAAAGTCGCATGATTTTCTCGGCAACATCTCCTTCATCTTTACTCTGCGTCATCAGCTTCTCCACCTCGGCCCTAGGCAACCTCAACTTTACCCTAACGGGCCCACCACCGTTCTCCATCTTATTATTCAAGAGTGTGCCTGAAGCAAAGTTATTATGATACGACGACTCTTCTGTCATAATACTGGCAGGCTTCATGATTGACAAGTCAGACACCGATCTCCGTGCTAACATTAGGGTTTCGAGCCGATCTTTCGCGCTCATTTGAATCCCTGAACGGACTCTCCTCGGAGTTTTCTGTTCAGGGTATTTAGGTAACTCAACTAGGAAATAGAGCCTTTTGGATTTCAACTCTTGTTGTGGTTCCAATGGCTTTGCTCTGACCCCAAAATGCTTCACTGCTTCTGATTCTAATAATACCATAGTAGGATAATTTCTTAGAACCTCGTTTGCATATATTGGTGTCTTGAATTTCATGGTTTGTCCATCAATTTTCATCACTTTTGTTGTCTTTTTTCCTCCTAGAGTATTCCCCATTTTTGCCTTTTGTTTTGTGTTTTGTCTTTGTGGTTTGTTGTAGGCTTCGGTTTCTGTTTCTTCCTATTGTATATATAATCAGATCTAACAACCAAATAATTAGAAACAATATTTTTATAGTAAATAAGGCTCGTTTTGGGGTTTTGTTTTTTTTAATTGTGGATATGTTTCTTGGAACCCTCTTGAAATCTTGGCACGAGTTTAGCATAAATGGCAACATGGGTATTAAATAAGGAGTAGTAGTAGTTGTTTGTTGTTTGCTTGGAGTTTGTATTTATGGGTCAAATAATGAGTGCAGGTTTCAAAATGGCGACTCTTTTTTTTTTTTTTTTTTTTTTTTTTTTAATTCTTTTTCCTGTGTTGTGAGTTGTGATTTTCTTTTGTTTTTCTAATCAAATATATCGTTTTAAATTCTGAACACCCTTAGCAAAATTCATATTTTCGCTATTGTTTTTGTCCATTTAGTGCGTGAACGAATATTCTAATGATTAAGTTTATTATATTAATTTGAATATAAGGACATAATTTACAAAGCTTGTCACGCATGTGATTTCTAATTTTCAAGGAAAATCTTCTAAAGTTTGGATAATTTAAAATGCGCGCTCGTCGTCTCGATCTCGTTCATATTCTTTCACAAATAAATAAAAGAAAATAAGTTTAAAAAAAAGAAAGAAAGAAGAGATAGCAAGCCCGTGAATAGTGGGAAATATGAGTATAAGAGTAATTTGGTACGGCGATAATTTCAAATTAACGTAATCTCATTGGTTAATTAATTATAATTAAATAAGATTGGGGTAATGATAACACGTACGCAAATTATTGTGTGGATAAGAGGTGGACCTATGCTATACCGAGAGGGGTTACCGGCATCCGTAAAGTTCGGCAAAAATTCTATATATACACGAATATGTTTTTAGAAAATAGTAATATATTAGTAGTGGACACCTAAATATAAAGTAAATTTTGGTTGAATCTAAAAGTGCATCCGGATCTTTAAATCTTGGGTTCGCCTCCGATGTGGATCCGTGAAGTGGTGACAAATCCCATTTTTGTCTTCTATCTCATGTGCTTTTTTGACTGTTTTCATGTAAGTGAAATGATCAAAACTTCACCAAACGTGGACTTGTTCTCATTTGCAAAGTCTGCAAATTGGATATGGCAACCTATAAAATATTATTCTTTGTAATACACGTAAAATCATGAATGCATGTAAATCTTTTATTATATAATCATTATACTAGGTAAAGGTAAATTGTGGTAGACTGATAATTTTTGTTTACGTTATAAACAAATAAATTTTTGAATATGACTTTAATTACTACCTACGGTCTAACTTGATGGTCTAATTATGAAATTGTAAAAATTTCTAGATCTCCTCGAGGTTATGTTCCTATGTAACTTTTAAAATGTTTCATCACACAGTTTTTACAATACCATTTAAATAAGAAATTTTCAATAGTTTATAGATATAATATAATTATTGCTTTATTTTAATATTATATTATTAGAGTTTAAATAATGATAAATTATACTTTTTAAGATACCGAAAACAAAGATCTTGATAGTGCTTGATCGATGTAAAGAGAACATTTTATAATAAAATATATATTTAAATTCATATTGTAGAAATAAATAGTTGTACAATTAGTTATTTCTCTTGTACTCTTTAAAAGGATAATTAGTTAGAAGGCTAGTTGCTTAGCTGTCATAATGTTAATTAGTGAAGACATTGCTTGTAATAGATATATAGGTGCACAATACACTTTACGGTTAATGAGATTGAAAGAATTCATCTCCATTCTCTCTCCACAACCTTCTTCTCGTTTCCCTCTCTGTTCTCTCTTCTTTATTCTCTTTTCTTATCCAAATCTGTAACTCCATTAATGGCAGACCTAGAGCTTGATTTTAACATGGTATCAGAGCTCGGTCAATTGCGATTTAGAGTTCTAGGAATCTGTTCCTCAATTCAGCTTCTTCTATTTCCGTCGAATCCCTAAATTCCTCTTTGTTATCCTACCTTTTAATTTCTAATTTTTTCTCATAATGGAGATCGATACGCCAGAAAATGTGACCGGATCTTCCCATGCAACTGCTCAACAGATTAATTACAATGATCCAATGTATGTTTTTCCATCGGATACACAAGGTATTTCACTCGTTCTTCAACTGTTAATAGGGACTGAAAATTACTCGGAGTGGAGTAGTCTATAGTAATGACATTACTTGTGAAGAACAAATTAGGTTTTGTGGATGTTTCATGTACCAGAGATCAATTTGAAAAGGATATCTACAAATTACGTCAGTGGGATAAGTGTAATGCAATTGTACAATCATGGATTCTGAGTTCAGTTGCACTAGAACTCAGATGGGGAATTTTATACTTAACCTATGCGGAGAAGGCGTGGAAATCTATGAAGGAAAGATTTGATAAAATAAATGCCACTACAATTTATCATATGAATCGAGAGATTAGCTGTTTGACACAAGGAATCTCGAGTGTTTCTGTGTATTTCTCGAGACTCAATGACTTATGGAATGAATTTGAGTCAATCATTCTCTTTCATGGTTGTGACTGTGAAAGGTCCAAACTTTTTGTGACATTTTTATCAGCAAAAACTTATGAAATTTCTAATGGGGCTAAATGACACCTATGCACCACAAATGAGTCAAATTTTGATGATGCATCCAACACCTACTCTTGATCTGGCCGATGATTGTGCAAGAGGAAAGCTAGAGGATGAATGTTGGCACATTAGATGCTGGAATTTTAGGTAGTGACTTATGCTGTGTGTGTTCGAACTTTGAAAGAGAAGAGTATATGTATTTATAGTTTTGAAAACGAGTAAAGAATAAGGTAACAAGTATAGTTTTAACACAAATATGGGCATGATCACAATCAGAATCAATTAACACAAGACTTCCCTTTAATCAAGGGATTATTGTTCAAACGGATACTAACAGGATCAAAAATAAGGAAAGAAAATCAGTCTGTAAGCAGAATGGTTGTTGCCATAAAAGGAGCAGTAAAATCATACAATAGGTATTTAAGTCCAAGTACAAGATTGTACTTATTTTTGGAAAGGGTTTAGTAAGGCCAAACCAAGAAAGAGAATCAATTAACCCTTAACAGGCGAGTAAGAGGGAAAAGTTTTGAGATCAGTTATGAGTTTGAAAATCAATCACAGAAGGGACTCAGTATATAAAGGAATGCACAAGTAATAGACATGTGAGGCCAAGCTATGGCAAAAGAAATAACATACAATAGTAGCCTAGAGCAAACATTCGAAGCAAGATAGTCAGGTTTCAGTGGTTTAGTAATAGAGAAAAGGATCAGAGGCATGCAAAGAGTCGAGTGAAAATCATAGTCGAGTTTCACAGGTAGCAAAAACTCAGAACCAAAAGAGTCACATAAAGAAAAAAGAGAGTTGAAGCAAAGGAATCACATTGAGCAATTTCAACAGACGAAGAACTTCAGGAACTCAAATAGACCCCCAAAGAATAGGGTTTTCAAAATCAGTCAGGTTTAGAGGCGATAAACAAGTGAAACAAACAAACAAATTTAGAATCTCGAATAAACCCCAAAAATTAGGGTTTCCAACATGCTAACTCAAATAGAAAAACAAGGTAAACGAATGTTAACAAACAGACTAAGAAACTCAAACAAAATCTCAAGAATTAGAGTTTTAAACATGCTAACTCAGATAGAAAACAACACAAGCAAAACACAGTAAAACATGGTGAGAATCAAAGAAGAGATTCGAAATACCTTAACATAAAACCCTAATTAAAGAATAAAGAGTTTTGAAAGCAAAAAATTAAAGAAACTTTGAGAAAGATGCTTAGAAAGTTCAAACACACATAGATCCGGGGCAGATCTGAAATAAAATCGAAGGAACCTTAGAGATTAGGATTTCGTAAGAAACCCAGGCGATGAGAAATGCTTTGAAAACCATCGATCTAAGCAGGAAAGTCGAAGATCGAACTCGAATAGCCATGGCTGGCTTGGACAAAGGTTGAAGACGACCGGAGAACAGTCATCAAGCAAAGTCTTGGTCGAAACCCCTTCAAGATCTGGTAATAGGACCTCAAAGACGAGCACATAGAGGCCATGAGAGGCTGGTACAGGTCTCCGATGAGCCTGGGAAGCCATGGATTAGGGTTTCAGTGAGAGGCGACGACCAGAGTTTGAAGTGGGTTGAGAGAGAGTTGAGAGAAAGAAGGGATTCAAAGGCGGCGTTTCAGAAGGAATGGGGTAGGTTTAGGGGTCGTTTGAAATTAAAAAGGAAAGAATCAATGGTGGCCGTTGATCTAAGTGATCAACGGCCGAGATTGAACGGGGTTATGGGCTGGGTCGGTTGAGTAGGTGCTGGGTCAGGTTAAAGGTAATTGGGCTGGGTAGTTTGGGCTCGAATTTGGGGCTGATTTGGGTTAATTAGGGGTGCCAAATTGGCTGAAATTGAAATACAATTGAGGCTAGATTTTAAATAGCTACTTTTTCCATTTTGTTTTATAAAAAATAGAAATAACGATTTTAAGAACAAATTAAAAGTGCCGGGTAAACAAATATCATATAAATATTAATTAAAAAATGATGGGGTTAATTTTATAATTATAAGATGCTATCAATTACAAAATAGGCTATAATTGCAATTATATGCAATTTAACTTTTAAAAATGCCAAACGAATTTGTAAAAATGTGCAAAAATCATATTAATTGTATTTTGGTGTAAATATGAGGATAAAATAAGTTATTCACCAAAAATAATAATTTTGAGAATAATTATTGGATTTATGATATTAAAATAGGCAATAACTTGGTTTTAAAAATCATTAAAAATACCAAAACTCTTGGGTGTGCTGATATATGCACATATATGCTATTTTGGACATGTTTTGGGTATAAAATTACCTAGGAAAAAATTGGGTATCAACAGTACTTTCTTACCGTGGTTGATGATTGTACCAGAATGAGTTGGATATTTTTATTGAGATTAAAAGGTAATGTATATGTTGTGTTGACTAATTTTCTTCACCTGGTAAATAATCAATTTTCCACAACTAGTTAAAACCTTCAAATCAGATACTGGTTTTGAATTCTTTCAACTAGTTAAAACCTTCAAATCAGATACTGGTTTTGAATTCTTTGACACCTTATGTTCTAATCTCTTCAAAACTAGGGGAGTTATTCATCAAAGC